TGAGATGGCTGGATGGCATCACCGACTCAATGGACATAGGTTTGAGTAAACTCTGGGAGTTGGTGATGGACAGGGAGGCCTGGCGTGCTGCGATTCATGGGGTCGCAAAGAGTCGGACACGACTGAGCGACTGAACTGGACTGAACTGAACTGAAATGTGGTTAGTCACTACAATTTACTTTTCAATGTTAGCTTTGCTCTGATATATAAAGATCCTGGAAGGTGATTTAACAAAAAGGGGGGACAGAGCCTCCCAAGTTGAATAATGACCAGTTTAAGAGAAGTAGAAGAATGGGGAGGAGAGAAATGAGAACCTGCATTCATCTGGCACTTACCACGTAGGTGTCTCTAGATATTCGCACTGCTGGCGCTTCAGTTTCTTCTAGGATCACTTTCCTGAAATGTGTAGACCTCAAAAGAGGGAGGGAGATAACAGCCTATAAGAGAGCAAGTTGTCAACTCAACAGAATATCAAGTGAAGCATCCATCATCCCACTGCTTATAGAGGATTTGTTGCCAATAAAGCTTCCCAAAATGATCTGATCCAGAGCTAGATCCAGGGCAAGTCCCTACAAGATGATGAAAGATCACAGGGACCAGGTGAGCAGAGTCCCATTCTAGATGAAGACAACGTGGACACACTCATTTCTAGTTTGAGTTTACAGTTTCAGGCAGAGTCTCTGAAAACCCGTATGATTCTTCCACATTTTTGACACACCCATTTCCTATACAGGGCCTGTGATGTAAGTTTTCAACTCAACAGACATGGGAAACACACATTATTGGCCAGACAATGTGCTAGATTATATATATGAAAAGATGAAATATAGTTCTTGATCTCTTTGAACTGGAACTGTTAGGGGAAGCACAGTGACTGAAACCACCCACCCTGGCCAGGCACCGTAGTAACCATTTGCATGGGTTGTTTTAGGACAGGAGGTCCTGGTAAGGAACAGGGAACTAATAAGCCACCACCAACCGGAAGAGTTCCGGAAAGGTCAAAAGGAGACACCACATGTCCCACCACCTCCCAGAATCCTTCTCACTGGCATCCATCTTGGCTGAAGGAGGCGTGCATCACCCGGAAGTACTCTGAGTCAGAATGATTGGCTAAAGACAACCGGGAAACTAATCCCATCATCATGAAACCGGGAGCCACGGGAGCCACGTGACAGAGCTGTTCTTCCTGGGTTCCCCTACCCTACTGCTCTCCACCCGGGTGCCCTTTCCCAGTAAAATCTCTTGCTTCGTCAGCACCTCGGACAATTCATTTCCGAGTGTTAGAAAAGAGCCCAGTTTCGGGCCCTGGAAAGGGTCTCCCTTCCTGCAACAGAACAGTTGACATGTGATTGGTACAATTATTTAGTTCAGTGCTTGAAAATAGATGAATTTATGTTTCCTTCAAAACATGATCTCTCTGGAACAATAAATCTAGATTTTAAAATTTGGAAACACGATATTTTTGCTTATCCTTAAGAACGAAAATTGTAGTAAATGAAAGGAAATTACCCGAAAAGAATCTATGGAAGATCAAGTCACTAACAATTTCTGCACGAGGTCGCAAGTCTTCTAGGAAAAAGATAATTACGAAAACGCTGGACCTCCATTCAGGTATCATAAATGCTTATATATTATAAGTATCATTATGTAAGTTTAATTTAAAACATGCAACACTTATAAAGAGAAACTGTGCTGCGTGCCTGCCTCCGTAGAAAATAATTTACACTGTGAATGCCCAGGTCGTTACTAAGATGCAGTGTTATAAAACTCTAGGTATTTATGTGGAAAGGGAATAAAACATTAAGAAGAATTTCCTTTTTCCATTTAAAGGAGTGAACACCAAAAGGCCATTTTAAGACTCTAGAAGTGCCACAGAAATTTCCAAAAGAGGTTGTAATGTATAAAACAAAGGGTAACACCAACCACAAGGAAAAAAAAAAAAAAAATCATAGAAACGGGAGGGTGGAAGTGGGGAACACACTTCCTGGCTCAGAAGCTCTTAAAAGTTCTGAGCCAGGAAACCTCCCGCACCGGGGCGAGGAATGTCTTTGGCTCTGCACTGACTCCCTGCTAAGTTCCCCTTCAAGCTTTGCCTCCCTCGCTCCTGGGTTCCCGCCTCAGACCCGAACGTGGGAGCCCCAGGAGGAGGCCGGCACGAATACCTGGAGCTGTCGGACAGAATCAGCCTCCAACGCGTGTTGATTCGGAATGCCACCACACCTAACACAGGCCGTATTTGCAGGCAGACCCAAGGGATTTCAAATGACCCCCGGAAGCTCAGCTTACTCATTGGGGACCCAGCCGGGAAAAGAACAATAGTAAAATTGAGCCAAGAGCGCGCCTTCCTTCGCTCCCCGCAGCAGTTCGCGGGCGGCGCGCAAGGCCTGCGCCCGGGCTGGGGCGGGGACCCGGAGCCCCGAAAAGGCGCGCTGCCCCTTTAAAAGGCCGCGCATCTCCGGGCCGGCCTTCCTCCCCGGGGCTCCAGCTGTGATTGACGCTGGGCGGCGAGAGGAGGCGCCTGGCGCTAACAAAAGTCCGGCCCTTGGGCGAGCCGCGCCGGGCCGCGAGTCTTTTGCTCGCTCGGGGCACCCGCAACAAGTGGCCGCCTCGCCCTCCCCGGGGCAAGCCGCGGGTGTGCAGGGGGCGCCCGGAGGAGGCGGCAGAGCCCAGGACCCCCGGCCGCTCGCGCCGCTCGGCTCAGCATTCTAAGGGCGGCGGCCGTCCCCGGGTCCCCACCCGGCGCAGTCGGGGGATTGCCAGGAGGGGACCGAACCCACCCCCACCGCCCACCGGAGTGCGGGGGGCCGCCCCCGGCCGGAGATCGGTCCCGGTGCGTGGGGTATGCGCAGCTAACGGTCCCGTCAGGCGGGCTTTCCTCTGGCGGAGCGCGCAGGCGGTGCGCCCCAGCTATGGAGTGTCCGGGGAGACGGCGGGCATGACGGCGGCAGGATGGGCGCGAACAATGGCAAACAGTACGGCAGCGAGGGTGAGTGGGCCGTCCGTCCTCACACTCCCGATCGCTCCCCACCCCGCCCCCCATCTCTTTTCCCCTCGCCTTCGCGTCTGGGAAGGAAGGTTCTCGCACGCCCGGTGGTGTCGGGGCGCACCTCCATTGGGCACCCTGTCTGGGCCATCACCTTCCCCTTCGGCATAGAGTGCTCGGGCGCCCCGCGGGTGCTTTCTCACGGCGGGGGACTCTCTAAGCAACTTCACAGGTTGTCCGTGCGACGGTTCGCGTGGCCTTTCTGCCTGTGGCGAAACGGCTGTGCCTTAACTTCCCTTCCCTGGGGCATCTGGGGTTTAGGTTGGAGAGTTTGGCAGCTGGCGGAAGACGGTTCTGAGAAACAACGCAGGGAAAACTTTCCCAGGCCTTTGTGCACCAGTCACTTGGACTCTCCTGTAGCAGGGAAAACTTCTGGAAGAAGTTAAGTTTCCATTCTCTGCTCACTGCTCCCGCGAGCTGACAGCTTCGTGAAACTGACCACCTAGGGGCCATGCGAGGCCAGGCGTGGCTGGGGAGTTTGGTCTGGGCTCTCCCGGGGCTCGAGACGGGCAAAGGACCGTCTGTTACATGGGCCTGGAAATTGCACAGAAATATTGCCTGTCAAGTGGGAACTTGGAAGTTGGGGAAACTTTAAACTCCACCTACTCCTAAAAGTGTGATGGATGTGTGGGTTGGCTTCTCCCTCGCCCCTCCTCCCCTTCTTTGCATAAAACCGTAGTGTTGGAACCCGGTTGATTAACTGCGTTGCCCCTGATATGCATACTGCAGAGGCATTTCCCTGCAGTTTTGAAGTTAGGAAGGTTTGTCTTTCGTGAACTTGGCTGGAGGGGAGTGCAAGAGACGGGGTCGGTTTTACAGCCCGCCCCCAGAGGACCGGCGGTTAGAAGCGGGGTCCCGCGCCTGCAGACTGCTAGGAATGCAGAATGGCTATTCAGCATGTGGTGTTAGAGAAACTCCGATCATTCAATTCAAAACTTGAGGAGCTCCGGCCACGGAAGGTGGATGCCTCTCCCCCTTGCTCAGCAGTGTTCCTTCTCAGCAGCTTTGTGAAATTACAGCAGAAACCGACCCTAAGAAAACCGTATCCACAAGAACCTTTTGTTTAAATCATTCTTTTTCCAGGGCATCATGTGTTGAATTCCACATATATATGAAATAAGTAGATTTCTTTATTCTGTACAGTTAAGTGAGAGAAATACCCCCCCCCGACAATTTCTTTCTTTCTTTCTTTTTTTTAAAGGAAGTTGAAAGGTGGTCTTTTAAGATAGCCAACCGTGAAATTAGGCCAGAAAAGATTATTGGAGAATCTTGGCCACCCCCCAAAACCTCGTGAAGTTAATGTTTTAAAAAATGGTGGAAAAATGAAAGATTAAGCCTCCTTCCTCTTGAGTTATTAAAAAGCTTTCAGGGAGTGAAATGTGTGTTTGTCAGTTCTGGGTGTGTACCCATTACTTTACTTGAACACTGGGGTTGGGGGGGTCCGATAACCTGGAGAGCTACACAGAGCTGCGGCTTGAACGAAACCCCTCACACTCTTTCTAATCCTTTGCAACTTGTTCTTACATCCCAGCCTTCTCCTATTGTGCAGTGTGTGGTGTGTGACTACTTCCTGTCTGAACAGTGGAGTTTTCAACCCTTGGGAGAGAAAAGGAGAGACAGAAAACTAATGTTCTCCAGCTGTTATTCCTAACTGCTACCTCTGCATTTTCACTTGAGCTGAAGTGAAATTTTTACTGGAATCCGATTTAGATACACAGTGGACTTTTTATAGGAAAAAAAACCTCTTGAGTTCAGCTGATTCAAGGGGACCAATAGGAAGCTTTGGGAGGTAACTGAGTTTTGGCTGGAGGGACACATTGTGTTCAGTGTTCATCAGCTCTCTTCAAATGCATCCAGATTCTTCTGTGATAGATGGGGGGTAGGGGTGGGGAGAGAAGGGGGATAGAGAGTTAGAATGAGAAGAGCTTTTCAAAAATTGTTTCTCCGCCCAGTTACACTTTAACACCTTCCTAATATATATCATTATAATATACGTAATGTATTATAGGTTAAATATATATGTAATTGAGTTTGGTCAACTTTATTATATTGTGCTATTGGATGGTAAAGTCTATGCAAATAAGCCTGTGGGAATTTGGTGTGTTAATGCCATCTTTCTTATCTGAAACATCCAATTTTAAAGAAAGTCAAAGCAATCCCTGGACACAGTATTTCTATTACTGAAGGAGACTGAGCCTGGGCAGTTTCCCAGCTAGAGTGCTGTTTGCATCTGTGCTCGGTCACTAAGAGTCAGTTCTTCTGACTGTGACCCCAGAGACTGTAGCCTGCCAGGTTCCTCTATCCATGGGATTTCTCAGGCAGGAATACTGGAGTGAATTGCCATTTCCTTCTCCAGGGGAGTCTTCCTGACCCAGGGACTGAACT